GGGTGTGGGTGTGTGTGAGTGAGTGAGTGTGTGTGTGTGTGTGTGTGTTTGTGTGTTTGTGTGAGAGAGAGTGTGAACTACACATAAGCTGTTACGAATAAAGGCTGTTACGAGCAATCTTAAACACACACTCAAACACACACAAACACACTCACAGGTTTGTTTTTGTGAAAAGTGGGGACATCCCATAGGTGTAATCACACTCACTCACACACACACACACACTCACTTTAATTGATTTCTTTCCCCAAATGCATTGACTGCTTTGAGACAGCAATGTTTCAGGAGTTTAGGACACAGAATAGGACACATACTTATTTGATAGCTTTATTTTTTCAGATTAACTGTTTTTCCAAGGCATGGTTGGATGCCAGTGTTTCCTGTCATAGCTATGCAAAGATTTGATTTCAAAAACAGTATCATAGCTATTAAACTATATCTTATGATTTTAATCTGTATTTAACCTCAGAATGATCTCAAAGTACAAAGAGCTGCTAAAGTCTGATTTTGTGGTGGCTGTGCTTTAAAACTTAATTATTATAATCTTAATTCAAGAATGAAGGATTTTGAAAGTCTGACAGTAATCAGCGTGTTGGAAAAATACTTGATTAAATGGGGAAAAGTCACAAGGAGACTCATTCTAGTATCATTTGTTGCTAATATTTTGAAATAGATTTTTTTTTATATTTTCTTTTTTCACTTTAATTTTAGTTAACGTGTTAATAACGTTGTCGTGTTTTTTTGTCATTTTTATTATTTTTTAATGTCCATATAGTTTTGGGGTATAAGTTTTAGTGCTAGTTTGTTTAGTTTTAGCTATTATTTCAATTTCAACTAAATGAATGTTGCATTTTTTCTTTTCAGAAATATTTTACTTCAGTTAGTTTTATTTCAAATAATGACATTTTTAATGGTTTTAGTGAACGATAATAACCCTGCTCTCTAGAGTGGAAAGGTGCAATTACATATTAGTAATAACTAACCTTTTTTTTTTTAGTGCTTTATATTTATAACTAAAAATCGCACTCAAAAACTCATCACTGATACATTATATTGATTATTATTTGCCGTTATGCCCCCCAAATAGCAAGCTAAAGGCGACAATATTTCAGGTATTACAGAATGGCACAAAATAATTACTGAATATTCAACTTTAATAATATCAAAATAGAAAGCATTTCTTTTAAGACGTAATAATATTTCACTATTTTACTGTACTGTATTTTGCCGCTTTGGTGAGCATAGAGAGTTCTTTCAAAAGCAACAAAAATCTAAATTATTCCAAACTTTTAATGCTAATGTAGTTCTGAAATCTGTAATAAAAGCTAAAGCCTCTGAAATGCCTTTCTCCACAGACTTCTATTGTAAATTATTGTAAACATGTTTTTCCTGCATTTATGATGATGATGAATAAAAAAATAAAGTAGAAGAAGCAGAGCACAAGGTGCAAAAATTGCACTAATTAAATTCTTACCATAAAAAAAAAAAAATTGTATAAAGTGCAACAATTAAATTTTAAGTTCAAGTTAAAACTTTTAATTCAGTGAGAATTCTTAAGAAATTTATTCTGAAAGATATTCACAATAAAATACACAGATGGAGGGCATGCAAATGAGATGTAGCGGTAACGACTGTAATTACAGAAAACAGAATAATTATAATAATAATAAAAAACATTCCCTACACAGAGATCAAGTATCCACAGTCAGTTAATAATCAGGTACAAACCAAATGAAACCTTTTTGTGTTTTTAAAAAAATCACACGATAGCTGTAAAAAGATACAAAGCACCAAAGTAAAACTACATACAAAAGGACTGTGATTAGAGAGAAAAACACATTGCTCGTTGTCCACAGGTGCGCAGTAAAAACACACGACTTCCATTATTTCTTGCTTCGGGCCTGACTTCTCGGGGAGCCTTTTAGTAAATCTCGAATCTTGAGGTAAACCCCCGTTGCTTCAGCCACCTCCGTAAACTCAGGCGTGTCCTCGAAAGGAATAATACCCGCAGCGAACCTGCTCCGGTGTGGGACGAAAGCTACTTTATTTACGGCAGGCTCCTCCGTGTTTATCTGAGGAGTGTCTGAAGCTCCATTTGTTGCATCATGATTACGGCTTTCCTCGTAAATTTCATCCAGGACAATGTCGTCACTCATCCCTGCTTGCAAATCGATGGCGGTTTCATCTATCCTCTCCTCCTCACAAACATTAGGTGAAGATGGCGTGCTCTTGATTTCATACGCTTGACTCGAGTCCTCCGTCTTTTCTCCGTCTTCCTCCGAGTCGAGTTTAAGTGAAGTGACCACACTAGGGGAACTCGGGACGGGGGTCTCAGAATCACTGTTGGTCGTGGTATCTGCCTTCTCAAGGGCTGCCCAGAGAAGCCTCTGCTGCTCCTCCAGTTCCTCCAGAGTCAGCCCGTCCTCAGACTCCTCCCCCTCAGTCAACCCTCTCGCCTGATTGGCCGGGGAATCGTTAGTAGGTGGAGTCGGTGGTGGAGTTCCCTTAGGGATGGGCGGAGTGGACGGAGGCGTTCCCGGCGGGAGAGGTGGAGCAGCGGATGAGGACGCAGAGCCAGGAGGGAGCGGAGGGTGGAACTGGAAACCATCGGATCTAACCGGACACATGTCGTGTTCTGTAGAAGGACAGAAACTAAATCATAATAAACCGTTTTTTGTTTTTTTTTAGTGATGCACTCAAATTTGAGCACGGTCCTGGTGTGGGCTCCCGGTCTCCCGAACGCTCTTTAGCATCTTACGACCAATGCGCACAAAAATACATCAGATATCCTCATTAACACAGCTGTTTTTTGTCTTAAGTGAACGTCAACAGGTGAGAAAGGAAACGCATGTGTAACAGCACTTTTAGATCCGCGTGCGTTCGCTGTTAAAGAGACAGCAGCCTAATAAACATCTGCTGCCTGTCATTAAAGAATAAAAGAAAACTAGATGAGTAAAGTTCGCAGACAAACTTTGAAGTTGGCTTGAGAAAGCCTTGTCTGAAAGTTTGAAATAGCTTTGAAAAGCTTAAAGTTTAATTTTAATTGTTGAAACTGAAGTTTGGGACAGAGTGGGAACACACGTTTTAGCATGAATTAGCATGTTGATAGCATGATTTAACACGTCACTAGCACGATTTTACATGAATTAGCATGTTGCTAGCATGATTTAGCATGTCTTTAGCACGTTGCTAACATTATTCTAGCATGATTAGCATGTCTCTAGCATGTTTCTAGCATGATTATCATTTTACTAGCATTTGTTAGCATGATTCTAGCATGATTGTCATGTTACTAGCATGTTGTTAACATGATTAGCATGTTTCTACCATGATTAGCATGTTACTAACATGTTGTTAGCATTATTAGCATGTTACTAGCCTGTTTTAGCATTATTAACATGTTATTAGCATGTTACTAGCATGATTAGCAAGTTATTCGCATGTTGTTAGCATGTTGCTAGCATGTTTATAGTATGATTGGCATGTTATTAGCATGTTGTTAGCATGTTACTAGCATTTTTTAAACGTGATTAGCGAGTTACTAGCATGTTTTAGCATGTTACTAGCATGTTGCTAGCATGATTAACATGTGTAACATGTTTCTAATATTATTAGATTAACATGTTACTAGCATGTTGTAAGCATGATTAGCACGTTACTTGCCTGTTTCTAACACGATTAGCTTGTTACTAGCATGTTGTTAGCATTTGTTACTATCATGTTGTTAACATGATTAGCAAGTTACTAGCATGCTAACTAGCATGTTTTTAACATGATTAGCATGTTACTAGCATGTTGTTAACATGATTAGCAAGTTACTAGCATGTAGTTTTATTTCAAATAATGACATTTTTAATGGTTTTAGTGAACGATAATAACCCTGCTCTCTAGAGTGGAAAGGTGCAATTACATATTAGTAATAACTAACCTTTTTTTTTTTAGTGCTTTATATTTATAACTAAAAATCGCACTCAAAAACTCATCACTGATACATTATATTGATTATTATTTGCCGTTATGCCCCCAAATAGCAAGCTAAAGGCGACAATATTTCAGGTATTACAGAATGGCACAAAATAATTACTGAATATTCAACTTTAATAATATCAAAATAGAAAGCATTTCTTTTAAGACGTAATAATATTTCACTATTTTACTGTACTGTATTTTGCCGCTTTGGTGAGCATAGAGAGTTCTTTCAAAAGCAACAAAAATCTAAATTATTCCAAACTTTTAATGCTAATGTAGTTCTGAAATCTGTAATAAAAGCTAAAGCCTCTGAAATGCCTTTCTCCACAGACTTCTATTGTAAATTATTGTAAACATGTTTTTCCTGCATTTATGATGATGATGAATAAAAAAATAAAGTAGAAGAAGCAGAGCACAAGGTGCAAAAATTGCACTAATTAAATTCTTACCATAAAAAAAAAAAAATTGTATAAAGTGCAACAATTAAATTTTAAGTTCAAGTTAAAACTTTTAATTCAGTGAGAATTCTTAAGAAATTTATTCTGAAAGATATTCACAATAAAATACACAGATGGAGGGCATGCAAATGAGATGTAGCGGTAACGACTGTAATTACAGAAAACAGAATAATTATAATAATAATAAAAAACATTCCCTACACAGAGATCAAGTATCCACAGTCAGTTAATAATCAGGTACAAACCAAATGAAACCTTTTTGTGTTTTTAAAAAAATCACACGATAGCTGTAAAAAGATACAAAGCACCAAAGTAAAACTACATACAAAAGGACTGTGATTAGAGAGAAAAACACATTGCTCGTTGTCCACAGGTGCGCAGTAAAAACACACGACTTCCATTATTTCTTGCTTCGGGCCTGACTTCTCGGGGAGCCTTTTAGTAAATCTCGAATCTTGAGGTAAACCCCCGTTGCTTCAGCCACCTCCGTAAACTCAGGCGTGTCCTCGAAAGGAATAATACCCGCAGCGAACCTGCTCCGGTGTGGGACGAAAGCTACTTTATTTACGGCAGGCTCCTCCGTGTTTATCTGAGGAGTGTCTGAAGCTCCATTTGTTGCATCATGATTACGGCTTTCCTCGTAAATTTCATCCAGGACAATGTCGTCACTCATCCCTGCTTGCAAATCGATGGCGGTTTCATCTATCCTCTCCTCCTCACAAACATTAGGTGAAGATGGCGTGCTCTTGATTTCATACGCTTGACTCGAGTCCTCCGTCTTTTCTCCGTCTTCCTCCGAGTCGAGTTTAAGTGAAGTGACCACACTAGGGGAACTCGGGACGGGGGTCTCAGAATCACTGTTGGTCGTGGTATCTGCCTTCTCAAGGGCTGCCCAGAGAAGCCTCTGCTGCTCCTCCAGTTCCTCCAGAGTCAGCCCGTCCTCAGACTCCTCCCCCTCAGTCAACCCTCTCGCCTGATTGGCCGGGGAATCGTTAGTAGGTGGAGTCGGTGGTGGAGTTCCCTTAGGGATGGGCGGAGTGGACGGAGGCGTTCCCGGCGGGAGAGGTGGAGCAGCGGATGAGGACGCAGAGCCAGGAGGGAGCGGAGGGTGGAACTGGAAACCATCGGATCTAACCGGACACATGTCGTGTTCTGTAGAAGGACAGAAACTAAATCATAATAAACCGTTTTTTTTTTTTTTAGTGATGCACTCAAATTTGAGCACGGTCCTGGTGTGGGCTCCCGGTCTCCCGAACGCTCTTTAGCATCTTACGACCAATGCGCACAAAAATACATCAGATATCCTCATTAACACAGCTGTTTTTTGTCTTAAGTGAACGTCAACAGGTGAGAAAGGAAACGCATGTGTAACAGCACTTTTAGATCCGCGTGCGTTCGCTGTTAAAGAGACAGCAGCCTAATAAACATCTGCTGCCTGTCATTAAAGAATAAAAGAAAACTAGATGAGTAAAGTTCGCAGACAAACTTTGAAGTTGGCTTGAGAAAGCCTTGTCTGAAAGTTTGAAATAGCTTTGAAAAGCTTAAAGTTTAATTTTAATTGTTGAAACTGAAGTTTGGGACAGAGTGGGAACACACGTTTTAGCATGAATTAGCATGTTGATAGCATGATTTAACACGTCACTAGCACGATTTTACATGAATTAGCATGTTGCTAGCATGATTTAGCATGTCTTTAGCACGTTGCTAACATTATTCTAGCATGATTAGCATGTCTCTAGCATGTTTCTAGCATGATTATCATTTTACTAGCATTTGTTAGCATGATTCTAGCATGATTGTCATGTTACTAGCATGTTGTTAACATGATTAGCATGTTTCTACCATGATTAGCATGTTACTAACATGTTGTTAGCATTATTAGCATGTTACTAGCCTGTTTTAGCATTATTAACATGTTATTAGCATGTTACTAGCATGATTAGCAAGTTATTCGCATGTTGTTAGCATGTTGCTAGCATGTTTATAGTATGATTGGCATGTTATTAGCATGTTGTTAGCATGTTACTAGCATTTTTTAAACGTGATTAGCGAGTTACTAGCATGTTTTAGCATGTTACTAGCATGTTGCTAGCATGATTAACATGTGTAACATGTTTCTAATATTATTAGATTAACATGTTACTAGCATGTTGTAAGCATGATTAGCACGTTACTTGCCTGTTTCTAACACGATTAGCTTGTTACTAGCATGTTGTTAGCATTTGTTACTAGCATGTTGTTAACATGATTAGCAAGTTACTAGCATGCTAACTAGCATGTTTTTAACATGATTAGCATGTTACTAGCATGTTGTTAACATGATTAGCAAGTTACTAGCATGTTGCTAGCATGATTAGCATGTTGCTAGCATTATTCTAGCATGATTAGCATATTACTAGCATGTTGTTGTGTTCGCTGTTAAAGAGACAGCAGCCTAATAAACATCTGCTGCCTGTCATTAAAGAAAATCATTCACTTATCTTGACTGAATATCTTTGGTCACTTTAACTTTAGGATTTATCTATATTTTATTTGTGAAAACAAAAACTATGCAGTGTTTTTAAACTTTTGACTTCAATTTCCGTACCTGAAATTTGTTCAGTTGTTTATTTATGCTATTTCTAATTGATTAGTTTGTGCCTATTTTATTACTGACTGTTTAACAATGTAATGTTTGACATGTATATTCGTCTAGTTGCTTTGCTGTAGTATTTTTGTTAAAACCGTAGGCAAAAGTTCCTCTCGTAGTATTCTGTAGGCGGCTGATTTTTGCTCGTGTTATTCAGCTCTTTGACTTTTTTATTTTACCTTATTAGAATAGAAACTAGGAATCGTTAATAATTGGAATTGAAAAGCAGAATCAGAACTGATCAAATTCAAACAATACCCAACCCTAGCAGGGCTGTAAAATCGATTAATCATAATTAATTGCTTCCACATTAAAAGTTTGTTTACATAATATATGTGTGTGTATTGTGTTTATTTGTATGTATACATAAATACACACACATGCATAAATATATTACATATTTAAATATTGACTACACATTTCTTAAATATATACATGTATGTGTATTCATATATACACATACAAATGAACAGTACACACATATATTATGTAAACACTTATTCTGGAAGATAATTAATCACGATTAAAATTTTAATGTTTATATGCAAAGTTTTTTATTTGAGTGTTGGTTATTAAATGTCAGTGCATCACTAGTATTTGTGTAGGATCATCAGACATTAATACGTGAAAAACAGTGTAAGACACATAGAGATGCAGCAGAAAAAAGCAAAATATAATTCAGTTTTTGCATTTCGGTTGTAAAACCTAGTTGTGTACCTGACTCTATCTCCATATCTGATTCGAGGTTCTCTGAATTTGATCTCTGTTTCTTTGTCTTCTGGGCCGTGGATTCAGACTCATGACGCCTCTTACTGCAGCTGGAGCCCTGCTGAGCACACATGCACGCACAAGCTCATTAACTATCCGGGAAATATGAATAAAGGCAAAACTAAAAAAGAATATATTACAACAGATGCTTTTACCGTTGGAAAGTTACTGCTTAAAAAAGCAGCAAAATTTTGCTTCCACTGCTGAGGCTGCATTGGAATAGAGCCGAAAGACCTGTAGTCCTGTCAATAACAAAACACACACACAGAGAGACACACACAGAGACACACAGAGAGACACACAGAGAGACACACAGAGAGAGACACAGAGAGAGACACAGAGAGAGACACAGACACACACACACACACACACACACACAGAGACAGACATACACAGAGACACACACACACACACACAGAGAGACACACACACACACAGAGACACACACAGAGAGACACACAGAGAGACACACAGAGAGACACAGAGGGGCACACAGAGGGGCACACACACACACACACACACACACACACACAGAGAGACACACACAGAGGGGCACACACACACACACGCGCATTAGAATTTGATGGATTTAAATTAGACTGAAGCAGAGGCGGACAGTAACTAAGTACATTTACTTGAGTATTGTACTTAAGTACACTTTTTGAGTAATTATCGACCTATATCGAAACTACCTTTTTTATCTAAGGTGGTTCTATCTTAACTTGCTTCATATTTCGATACGAATGCTGTTATAGATATGTTCCAGTCAGGTTTTAGGTCTCTACAGGATCTGCCCTACTTAAGGTTTTTAATGATATTTTATATGACAATTGATTCTGGAAAGGTAGTTATCCTTATTTTACTCGATCTCACAGCTGCATTTGATACCACGGATCATGGTCTTTTATTGCAGCGTTTGGAAGATGTTGGAATTAGGGGTACTGCCCTATATATTGGTTTAAATCACATTTAAAAGATAGATCATTCTCGGTTTGCCTTGGAGATTTGTGTTCTTCATCAGCTAAATTACTAAATTAGTGGTGTGCCACAGGGGTCTATCCTTGAACCTATTTTATTTTCATTACATATTGGCCCCCTGGGCTTAATTTTTCGTAAATATAATATTATGTATTATCTATATGCAGACGACACCCCATAGATCCAAACGGCAAGAATTTGGGTGTTATAATGGATTCAAACTTAGTTTTAGATAAACAGGTTACTAGTGTTGTGAAGGCAGAGACAGACATACACAGAGACACACACACACACACACAGAGAGACACACACAAGAGACACACACACACAGAGAGAGACACACACACACACACACACACACAGAGAGAGAGACAAACACACACACACACACACACAAAAGAGGACAGTAACTAAGTACATTTACTTGAGTATTGTACTTAAGTACACTTTTTGAGTAATTATCGACCTATATCGAAACTACCTTTTTTATCTAAGGTGGTTCTATCTTAACTTGCTTCATATTTCGATACGAATGCTGTTATAGATATGTTCCAGTCAGGTTTTAGGTCTCTACAGGATCTGCCCTACTTAAGGTTTTTAATGATATTTTATATGACAATTGATTCTGGAAAGGTAGTTATCCTTATTTTACTCGATCTCACAGCTGCATTTGATACCACGGATCATGGTCTTTTATTGCAGCGTTTGGAAGATGTTGGAATTAGGGGTACTGCCCTATATATTGGTTTAAATCACATTTAAAAGATAGATCATTCTCGGTTTGCCTTGGAGATTTGTGTTCTTCATCAGCTAAATTACTAAATTAGTGGTGTGCCACAGGGGTCTATCCTTGAACCTATTTTATTTTCATTACATATTGGCCCCCTGGGCTTAATTTTTCGTAAATATAATATTATGTATTATCTATATGCAGACGACACCCCATAGATCCAAACGGCAAGAATTTGGGTGTTATAATGGATTCAAACTTAGTTTTAGATAAACAGGTTACTAGTGTTGTGAAGGCTGCTTTTTATCAACTCAGGATTATTTCTAAACTGAAATCAATTCTCTCTTCTAAGGACCTGGAGACTGTTATTCATGCTTTTGTATCATCACGCATTGATTACTGAAATTATTTATATATGTAGGTATTTCACAGGGTCAATTATCTCGTCTTCAATTAGTACAAAATGCTGCTGCCAGACGAAATGGTTCCAATATTTTGTGTTTGGTTGAGTGAACTGCTGAACAATATACTCACAAATTGCGATTGATCAATAATGACATTTTAGATTTATTTGGGACAATCTGGAAATCTCTAATATGATACCTTTCATATTAAATGTTTTTATGATGCAACCAACTGTGATATTTTGATTTGAATATCCTACTTTATATTACTTCATTAGGGTCTCTGACATTCGTTACATTGTTTCGTTCATACTTCCGTTCATTTCAATCCTCTGTTCTGTTGTTTTCTATTTGTTTTTGGGCCTCTCCTGTGTTCAGATGTTTGCTTTATATGAAAACAAAAAGATTTAAAGAAAGAAAGAACGAAACGTGCAATGACAGACGCTTCACAAGAAGGCTGACCTCAGTATTCCTGGCTTGTACTTTGCAAAGCGCTCTTCGACCTCTTCTGCATGGTAGCGCTGGTTGCTCTGATTGCTGTTCTGCGAAAACTCCTTCCTCTTTTCATTGATACGAGCCATATCTTTGGGCTTGAACAGTCCAAAAAGACTGATTCATAACTCAGTCACAAACGACCTCACGTCGACTTCAAAACATAATAATGTGTATGCAAGTATTAATATTGTCTATGAGTAAAGAGAAACACCTCTGGACAGTCTCGCAGCTGATGATCCTCAGAGCAGCAGTTGAAACAGCACGGTCTCGGCCTGTGAAGACAACACCAAAAAGCAAGTCTTGCAACACCATAAACATATGAATATTGAAATGCTGCTATAGTGAACTCTTGGCATACCTTTTCTCCTTTATCTGCACCTCTTGGCCCTCGAGGGCGATGATCTGGCTGAAGATCTGCTGATATCTTTGCAAAAATGATTCAGGAGCAGTGATGCACATAGACATGATTCAAACAGACTAAAAGCATTGTCTAGAGCAAGTGTGAGAGCAGAGCTGGCTATAAGCGTTCAGGATACTTGGGAACCTCCCATCCGTCAGTCTGCTGCGGGTTTTCATTCAGCAGCGGCTGGCCAAGTTTATCAACACAGAAGCTGGTGAAGTACAAGACACTCCCTAGCACCTACAAACCAAGAACAAGAAGTACGGGTTTCGTTTGTGGTGGTTTGGTGACTGCGTAGGAATAGCGTGTGCTGGCTCTGGTTTGCAGAACTCACACTGAAAGCATTCTTCATGTGCTTGGAGTCACTGGACGTCTTTGCTTTGTAGCTCTCCTCCATAACGAAACCTGAATGCTGCAAAAACAAACAACAACGTGTGATGATGCAGCGTACTGATGAAGACTGCTGTAAGAGACGTTCAGAGACAGTGAAGGTGTACATGTGGCTTGACATGAAGAGCAGAGCCTTCCGGATCATTTCTACACTCTTGTAGCCTCTTCTGGACAAGACCGCAGATGAAGTCCTCCATTTCTTTCCGACACTGCCTAAACACACACACAATCAATGTTATTGATTTTATTTATTTTTATAACACAGACATAAAACACACACACACACACAGACAGACAGACATACACACGCACACATTAGGGCGAGGCTAGACTTTTGACTCGCACACAGAGGAGGGAGAGAATTACCCCAGTTCTGGTTTCTGAGTGTTGATGGTTTTTAAAGCGCTGCGTGGCATTGCCCCAAAATATATGGCTGATCGTATCTTTTTAGTAGTATAGCTTTTAAAATTGATTAGAGTGATCAGGATTTAATTTTTGTTTGTGTGACTGTATGTAATGATGCTGGAAAGCACTTTGGTCGATGGCAGTTGTTTTATATGTGCTATTGAAATAAAATTTGTATTGTAAAGTCCACCAGACTTTGACCGTAACGGGAGCCACTCGCATGCAACATGCAATAAGAGGCATTTCTTGTTCTTATTTCTGTTCAGTTTCTTTCCAGTATGTTCCATCCTAATGCAGCGCTGTGCTCGCATACTGTTTCGTGTGCAATAAGAGAGTATGTTCACTTACATCTCTCACGCTGGGTGATGCAGAGCAATTGAAGCCAGGAAAGTCAACCAGCTTCGACACATCGTAAGAGATCTTTTGGCTGTGGTTATTTTCATCTCCATCGTTCGATCCTTGCAAAGAAAGGTAAAGAGTCGATGGCGGAACACTTAAAACACCATCCTTCTTGAATCACGCTTATGACAGGTGAAGATCTTGAACAAAGCCTTACATAGGAAAACCCTTAGTAGGAATCTCCCTACAATTAAGGGATCTGAGAAACGAAACACTGGCTCTTACCATCGTAGAGCGTCAGGCCGGAGTTTTCCATCTCTGCCTCTTTTAACCAGCCAGGAGGGTAGCCGAGCTCTCTCATGCGATAGATGAACGGAGGAAGAGTGTTTGTAGTGATCCCAAGAGCATCGAGGAGATCTTGACTACACGGAGACAATATAAAACACACTTCATCTGAGTTGATTCTCATAAAAATGACACTTATATTACCAAATTAAAATAATGGTGGAAAGACAAAATCAGCGCTAGAGTCAAAATTGTGAAATGTGTCCCTGGAGCACAAAAGCAGTGTTAAGTCGCTGGGGTATATTTGTAGCAATAGCCAACAATACATTGTATGGGTCAAAATTATACATTTTTCTTTTATGCCAAAAATCATTAGGATATTAAGTAAAGATCATGTTCCATGAAGATATTTTGTAAATGTCCTACCGTAAATATATCAAAACTTAATTTTTGATTAGTAATATGCATAGCTAAGAACTTCATTTGGACAACTTTAAAATTGATTTTCTCAATATTTAGATTTTTTAGCACCCTCAGATTCCAG